ACGTTTTGTAGCAAAAGGAGGGGAGTGATTAACTTTGCAGTCTAGGAGCAGAGGTCCTTGGGACCATCAAGGGACAAGAGTGGAGAGAGGGACCCTACCCAAAGAAGCAGTGACGCCAGAGATGGAGGCAGAGATGATAATGTGGAGAGATGGGCAGCTGGGGACTTTAGACCCAGAGAGGGCTGTGTGCTGACGACCAGGGGGCAGGCTTGTAGGGTATACCCTTTGGTATACAATAGGATGAATGTAAAACTAATGTTCTCCCATGTAAACTATCACATAATTCACAATAAAACATTAAAATAAATAAATAAAAGACAGTATAAATAAAATAACAATGAGAGAATAAAACAAACCCTATGAATTACAAATTATTTTCAAATGGATACATTTTATCTTAAAAAGTGTTACCACATTCAAAGAGGTAAGACTAATACATGAAATAAAGATATTCAGTAAGATAGTCACTGTAATACTTTATCTTACATTTTATAGAATATTTAATAATTAAGTAAATTTAACTTCAGAATGGATGCCACCTTGAATTCTAAATAGTCTGACTATGTATTTGCTTTAAGAATCCAAGTCGAACAGCACAAACACAGTTCCAGTGTATTCTGTACAACCTAGGAATTGGATTATTCACAAGGTATTTTATAAATGCAATTCCCTTTCAGAAATAATGGTCAAATGTCATAGTAACATCTGAAAGTGTGATATCATAAAAACATACCAATGATTTACACCTGGTATTAAAAGTCCACATCACACATTTTGATTATTAAATTTAACATTAGATATGGCCTCTTCCAAAGGTAGTCTGTAAAGCTAAAATGAATTTAACCTACGGCAAACATAATTTCTCTGATGTTGCTGTTGTTTGTGTTGTGGCCACTGAGTTGGTCCTAACTCATAGTGACAGAGGTATAAATAGCAGAGATCTAGCATATTAACTAAATGTTCAAATATGTAACTGTTCATAACAGGTTAATAAACTAAGAACATTATTTTAAAACATATTATACATAATGAGGATGAACACATTATATTGTATTACATTTTTTTGGTTACTTAAGGGAATGACAAAATATACAAAAATTTTACTATGCCACATATTACCTGAGCTTTATATATGTGCTTCCTTAAGGCATTTTTTACTTCTGTAATTTCCACATCAGTCCTGACAACTTTGACTTTTTTGGTATAATCAGCAAAACCAGAATTCTTCATATTTTTCTAAATATATGTAAAAAACGTTAGACAATGTACTAAAGGTAATGTCAACACAAATGATAAATACTCCAGCGTTAACCACAAAAAAATCTTCATAAATCATATTGGACCAAGATTATACAGTGAAAGAAAAAAATGCAAGCATTTAAATTTGCAAAAATTAACTAACATTTATAGAGGTACTTTGCTAAGGTACTTTTCATTTTAACTTGTTCCAATCTTTCCTGGAAAATCTTTTTCTGTTTGTGGCCATGTTCCCACATAATATTTACCTCTATCATTTTTTGAAGGTCTTTCTGAATATATGTACATAAAAATGTTATGGTTAAGTCTATAAAATAGTGTCCTACTTTAAGAAAATTTAAAATATAAGCTATCTTATTTAAAAATGGTCTGTATTACACCAGGGAACAGTAAGACTAAAATTTATATTAGTTATTTGATATGCAATGTACATAAGATTTTTTTTCTTTTAAAGGCTATCAAGTCTGTTCAAACTCATAGCGACCCTATATAGTGTTTCTCAGGAGTAGCTAGTGGATTTGCTGTTCAACCTGACCTGGCAGTACAGTGCTTACTCTACAGTGCCAGACCAGGGCTCCACATTTATAGTCTTAAAACTATTTTAAATCAGTTCAGTCCCTTGTTTCTTTCATTTCTGCTACATTCAGGCAAAATAAAATTCATTTGAATATTTTCATCATTAACTCAAACATCTTTGCACATGCATGTTAAAATACCTTTTACTCTGGACCAAAGTGAATCATGTTTTTAAGTGCTATCAAGTCAGCTCTAACTTATAGTGACCCCGTATGGGGTTTCTGAGGAGCAACTGGTGGGTTTGAACCGCTGATCTTGAGGTTAGCAGTCTAGTTATTATCCTACAGTGCCACATCAGGAAGGTAATCAAAATAAACTATAAACAGCATACCACATCAACTACAGATTATTTCATAGGACATGTAGGTAATATTTAACATAGCAATTTAGTCACAAAAATCATTTTACATGTTTAGATTATACCAGGGAAGGGTCAGAAATAAGTACAAAAGTGTTCAGAATATAAAAGCTCACCTGATCTCTACATATGTAGTTTCTTAAGGTACTTCTGTCACATTGAACATCTTTCATGAAATGTTTTTCTTTTTTGCGCTTTTTCCTCAAAGTGTAACTCCTTTGAATATCTTCGTAAGTTTTCTTAACTTTTCTCTACACATATTTAGATCACAATTAAATAAATCACATCAAAAAGGATACAAGTCATCATATCAAAATCAACTCAAAGAATCTGATGTATAACACATGCACACAACTATAAAAAAGTAGCAGAACTACATACAACAGAGTGGTTACAAATTATTAAGACATTTTGGTAAACAGTTGTCATTTGTCTAGTATAGCTGAACATACACAGTCCTTATGAGCCAGCAATTACATGCCTAGAAGCATACTAGCAAGAGAAACTAGTCACGGAAGATTGTTTGTAGCAGAATTGTCCATGATTATAAAAACCAACCAACCAACCAAACAAGAAGCTCAGATGCTTTTCAATAGTAACATGGATAAAAAGTATTACTGTGGCATGGTCATTCAATAAACTAGTACATCCAATGGCAAAAAAAGCAAGTTACAGAAAACTATAAAGAGTATGAACTCAAAAAGTTCAATAACAACAAACTTAAATATGATATTGTAGGCATACATAACTGGCAAAACTATGATGAAAAGCAAGAAAATAACACAAATTCTAAGACAAGACTACTGGGTAAAGAAGAGAAAAGGGAGATGCAGATAGGTAACAGTACACCAGTCCTTAAAGAGCTATAATGTTCTGTATCTTAACCTTACTGGCAGTTACATAAACACTCATTTTTCAATTCTTTTAAAAACTGTATACACATTACCTACATCTATGGATGCAGTAGCTCAAAAGAGGGAACAAATCTTTACAGCAAGGTTCATTCGTACCCACTCCACACAAAGAGTAGACAGGGATGGGCAACTTGGAAATTGGCTACCAAAAATGGGGGGTTAGGGGGGAGTGCTATAAAGGCAAGAAGTGACTGGCTTACAAGCTTTCAAGAGGGAGTTTAGTTTCACAGGGCGTGGAGGAAGGTAGAATCTCCACTGAGTTGTATACAATCTGTCTGAGCAGGGCTGATGAAAGGAGATGGGGATAGGACTCTTGTGGAGGTCCCTGGGACTATCAAGGGAGAAGAGTGGAGTATGGGACCCTACCCAGAGAAACAGTGATGCCAGAGATGGAGGCAGAGACGATGACATGGAGAGATGGAGCCCCTGGGGACTCTAGACCCAGAGAGAGAGAGAGAGAGAAGGGCTGTGTGCTAAAGACCGAGGGGCAGGCTTGGGGGTATACCCTTTGGTTGGTTGATGATTCATGGAGGGGATTGTAATTATGGCAATGAAATGATATACAATAGGATGAATGTAAAGCTAATGTTCTCCCATGTAAACTATCACATAATTCACAATAAAACATTACAAAAAAACCAAAAAACAATTGTATGCAGATACTTTAAAAAACACTTTTATTATACATATTATAAAAGACATTCTAATCTAAATAAATAGTTTTTAGTTTGGGAAATTTTACCTGATTTCCATATGTGTGTCTTTTGATGGTATTTCTCATTTTAACAAAACTCAACTCTTTATATGACGCTCTGAATTTTTCTTTCTTGTGATGTTCAGTCAAAATAGAACTAATATTAATATTGTCACCATGATTTTGCATTTCTTTCTACATGTTTATAAAAATACTTTAGTTAGACAATACATGAAATATAGCCTCAACATAAGCAACATAAGTCACAATAGAAAAACCCACTGAGTAAGGTAGGTTTTATATGACATACATGAGCTGAAATATAGTAAATCTTGTGAATTATATCTAAGATAACACAGAAAAATACAGGTGTTTCAATTCATAAAAGTTTTACGCCACAGTTATATGCACATTTAATTTGGATACTTTCAGTTTGATAACTTAGTTGTTCTTGGTATCGATTTGCCTTTTGATTTAGTGAAAATAGGATGTGATTGTTTTCATTATTGTATTTTCCCAAGTAATTTAGGGTATAAATCAAAAAGAATATTGGTATTACTAGGTATATCACACCAAACATCTCAAGATAATATTTTTATAGTATATAGATACAATAATAGCAAACTACTCCAAGAACATATTACAAAACATTATTCATTGAGAATATATTTCCTTGAGTTCATCTTAATTTTAATAATTTCCACATGTTCCTTGAAATTCATATTTTATTTTTTTCCCCATGTTCTGTCAAAACCAAATTTATTTTAATACAGGATAATGTGGACAAGCACTGGGCTGCTAACCACAAAGTTGACAGTTCAAACCCACCAGCCACCTACTGGAAACCCTAAAGTGTAACTATGAGTCAGAATCGACTCAATGGCACTTAAGGAAGGATCAATATTTAATACTTTAAATTGTTAAAGTGTGGGTTGTGTTGTCGT